ATTTTCATATCTAACTAACAAATTATCTACCTTCTTCGCAAGTAACAAATGCATTAGGAAGCGATATCTATCATAAAGCTCTACCAGGGACAGAATTAGACTTTATGTGATTTCATGGCAAGATTAAACACAGAAAGGCTTTAGATTCTCTACCTATATATTACAGCTATTGTCCACATACTCACTGATGCTGTAAAATGTGAGTCATTCAAGATGTCTTTTTGAAAAACTCTACTTAAGTTCAAGATCAAGTTTCTAGCGTAGGATTAAAAATACATCAATATGGAAGAGACCATGTATCTAAAGAAAGGTGGCTCGACTACTGAGAAGTTCAAGCACAAAAGACAACATAAGCCCTACATCGGACATGATAGTGCCTTGGGTAAACACAAGTTAGACCCTCCTCCAACATCTTTCACAGCACGAGCCTAATATAGGATATGATAGTGCCCTAGGTAAAAAAAAGTCTGACCCTCATTCAACATCTTTCACATCTTGAGGTCAACATTCCTGATGGAGATAAAAGACCTCAAGAAACTAAAATGGTCTTAAAGATTAAGAGCTCCCTAAGATGCCAGAGATAAGAGTAAGTTCTACGAATTCCATCGAGATCATGGACATATGACAGACACTTGAGATTGAGTCATTGATATAAAAGGGTTTCCTCAAGGCTTATGTCAGTAACAAAAAAAGGCTTGAGAATGACAACCCCCAGGAAAGAGCAACCAAGGGTATTAGTTTCGATCAACACCAAATTTAATCAATAAAAGGTTTGTCCCAATGAAAGAACTCGCAGACATCATCTTTGTAGCCGATAAACTTGTAACAATAGTAGGTCACCCGACCTTATTTAGTAGTTGTTTAGATTATTTCTTTTATTTTATGTTCATGGACTTACATTGCCCATTTTCTTCATTTAGTTGTTTGGTCATGCGTGCCCGTATTTGCTTTTAACATTAGTTAGTACAAAATATATCTCCGTTAGTCTTGACGTCATCAAGATATGATTCCACAACAAATTTGTTCGTTGCTTTCATGATGTTGATTAAAAATCAAGCCTTGTCCTATGCAAAGGCTCGACATGCAAGCACCTCGAATCTTGTCCCGTGCAAGAACTTCAAGCCTTGCCCTGTGTATGCACTTAAAGTCTTGATATGTGAAAGTTCTTAAAGCCTTGTCCCACTCTAACATTTAAACCTTGTCCCGTGCAAGCACCTCAAACCTTACCTTGCACAAGAATCTCAAGCTTTTCCTTGAACGAGCAACTTAAGCCTTGTCTTATGCAAGCATATCAAGACTTTTCCCGAGTAGGCATCTCAAGCCTTGTTCTACACAAATACCTCAAACATTATCCCATGTAGATACCTTCAACTTTGTCACGAGCAAACACCTCGAGCCTTGCTCGGAGCAAGCACCTCAAGCATCCCCCCCCCTTCCGACATAAGTATCGCATGTCTTACCTTGAGCAATCTCCTCAAGTCTTACCTTTAGTAATCACCTTATGTAAAACATCTCAAGCCTTGTTCCGAGCAACTTTCCCAAGTCTTATTTCAAACAAGCACATTAAGCCTTCCCTCTCCCACTCAAGAACCTCATGCATTTCCCATGCAAGCATTAGAAATCAATCTATACAAGGTGTTTGCCTGAGCATACAACCTTCATCTCTACTTTGAGCAATTTTCACATTTACCTCGACTTTGTTTTAGTAATTTTAGTGTTGAAGGGACAACGAGGACACACTTGGACGACTTTGTTTTAGGTTCTAAAGGTCCTATTCATGATCGAGCTTTATCATCGAGCTTAGGTATTGATAGCTCAAGCTTTCTTATTAGGCTCTGGTTATGGAAATTATGTTCATGCTCAAACTTTGTCATTGGGCTTAGGTTATGAAAGTCTTGTTCGTGTTTATTCTCAAACTTTAAGCTTGGGTATTTACGGGTGCAGATTTTGGTAGCATTAGGTTATATTATGGTAAGGATGGGGTTTTAAATTGGGGGAAAGGGATATTTGGTGCAGCGTGGACGTTTTCAAGATTTTGGGAGCCATAAAGGATTTTGGAAAGCTGCTCAAGCTGGTCATGGGCTTTCGTGGTGAGTAGGGCCTCCAATTGCATAACTTGTTTTAAAGAACAATATTTGTTCTATTCTACCTTATACAATTTAACTCCACTAATGAAATTTCGATATACGAAATTTTATGGATATATAATTATATGATGCTCTAAAAGAATTTCAGGATTGGACAATAATGACCTAGACTCCTGAATGCTAAAAACTTGCAAATGAAATGCATCTATTGTAATGATTTTCCTATTCTATTAATGAAAAAAGGGAAAAAGTGACAATAAAGCAAACAAGATTATTCAAGAACATAAATTAATTAAACTATTTGATCTTTGAATTGAAAATAATCAAATTATAAGGTTTACCTTCATCCTTAAACAAGAAGCATCTAGCCTAGCACGTTTCTAAAGATATGACAAGAAAAATAATGAGAAAAATATCGCCCTTAATGTATATGAATACAAGAAATATTTGAAAGCAATTTCTTGTTCTTGATCTTCAATCCCAAGCCTTGATTCCCCACGTTTTTTATGTAAGTTGCCTTGAATTCCTTTCTAGTTTTTTCTTCTAATTGGCCTCTTGTAATTGAAAGATTCTAATGTTATGATGTGATAAGAGATGCATATGAGAGGGGTCTTCAGTGGTTTCTCACATTCTCTTCTTAAAGAGGAGCCAAAATTAGGTTACGATACTCATCAATATTGGTTTCCAAAAAGGTGTTTGATTTAAAGAAGGAAATTACCCATTTTTAGAAAAATTGCCCATGTGATCGCATTGGTATAGGAGTTGCTGTCGTGGTGGCTCAGTGATTTGGCCTCGAATTTTCAAAAAACAGGGGGTGCGATCACACCATAGAGAGGGATGTGATCACACCATAGAAAGTTTACAAAAATTGTAGTTTGATAGCTAAACTTGCTTCATTGTTCACTTGATCATTTCATCGATCAGTTTTCATCATTTGTCTTCTAATCTCATCCAATTGATTTCGTATAGTCTTCGATCATTATTCTTTAGTTCGAATCAAGTTTTAGATACTTGCAATTTAGTCCCCAAACTCTAAAAATCTGCATTTTCCTTGATTTTCGTTCCTTTATTCTAAATTCACTTCCAATTGTTGAATTTTACCTAACAAACAATATATAAAAGAGTTTAAGATATAATTAATTAAAAGTACTCCCATATATGCATTTGCTTCTAAGAACAAAACGGCATCGTTTTACTTTCATTTCTTTATTGAACGACGTCATTTTCTCCTCCTTGATATCTTCTCTGACATGCCAAATTGAATGCATTTTAACTTTTACATCTTTTCCATTCCTTTCACCTCTTCTTTACTCTTTCTCCATTACCCCATGGTACCGGCTATAGGTCTTTACTCCTCCTCCATTTTCCCCATGCTACAAGTACCAACCATCCCAAAGATTCTAATTTTTGTCGCAGGGTTTCAAGTTCTCATCATCTGATATAAAAGACTAAGAGCGATATTGGTCGAAATATAACGAAGTGAAAGTCTTATTTGACGGTTTTTCTGATAAAAAAATGATCATTTCCCTTTACATTTGATACATTTATAATTTGTTCAACATATTTGCATCTAGAACTTTCTAAAAAAAAAAATTTAATTTGATAAATTTAATTTTGAATTTTTTTTTTTCAATTTGGAATGTTTCGATTGTTCTGTTTCTTGATTGTTTATATTATGGCAGAGAATTGCAGTAGTAAGATGGGGAACAGTGATTATTTTGATATTAGAGTTTGAAAATGGAATGTGTTAAGTCGTTCATTTTTGTGGTTGAATTGTCAAATTTGCTTTTGCTATTTAATCAAATATGTGATTTTTAATTTTATTTATTTTTTGGAATTTTGTAGTTTGCTGTTGAATTATGTTTGGCTAATATTTTGTTGAAATTTGTATTTGTTTATCTGTGTATAAGCATCGAAAAAATTATCAAACGTATCATTTCGATTAAAAATCACTTGCTTTTCCTACTTATTTGCTTTTCTCCCCATCTTTTGATTTATAAGTTTCTTTACATTCACTTGCCACGAAAAAAATACTTTTACAGGAAGAAAAGCTGCTGATAAGGAATTTCATTATATCAACAAAGATATTCTTCTTTTTATTTGTTGTCCTTCCTTATCTCCTTGCTCTCGCCTTATTTTCATTTTTACAGCTATCCTATTTTATGCATGTTCAGTCTTCATGTTGACCTTTTTGAGATATGAATAGATTAGTTTCAAAACACTATGATATTTACTTCTAAAGGAACGAAATGAGTACTTGTATGTTTTAATTTATGATTATATTTTTTGTATAGAGAAAACGACATTTTGATGATTCTTTGATCAATTTGAGCCATACCTTCGTGGGTTGTAATTTTCAAGAATTTTTTAATTTTACTTGTTGCATAGATTGACGTGGTAGGTTACAATAAAAATGGTAGCCACTGCTGCAACTTTTGCCTTCCTAGCAATAGCTTCTTCCGCTGTCGACCTTGTCAAGCACTATGTTTTGTGCTGATAAGACCATTGTCGAAGAACACTTACACTACGATAAATAGAGCAGTGGCAGAGCTATTGTGTCTCGAGCTCGTTTGGCTGGTTGATAGGTGGACTAGAGTTAAGTTGAAGAAATCTAAGCTTACTATTCCATTTTTTATATTACATCATTTGTTGATTGCAAAGCTTATTTCTTACATATTTTCAAATTTTCGCAGTCTCCGATCTCTATTATGTTTGAAGAACAGATATGTAATTGAAAGTCGAGATCATAGTAAACGTAATTCCGAATATCTAGTATCTTAAATAAAGTTAGTTATTGCCATTAAGAGTGATAATATAGTTGGTGATACACCTTGGAAATTTCAATCACTAAATATAAAAATTGTTGGAAATACACATGTTTTTACTGGTGATAAAGAGGGGAAGTAAGCTTCTTCCGCTGTCGACCTTGTCAAGCACTATGTTTTGTGCTGATAAGACCATTGTCGAAGAACACTTACACTACGATAAATAGAGCAGTGGCAGAGCTATTGTGTCTCGAGCTCGTTTGGCTGGTTGATAGGTGGACTAGAGTTAAGTTGAAGAAATCTAAGCTTACTATTCCATTTTTTATATTACATCATTTGTTGATTGCAAAGCTTATTTCTTACATATTTTCAAATTTTCGCAGTCTCCGATCTCTATTATGTTTGAAGAACAGATATGTAATTGAAAGTCGAGATCATAGTAAACGTAATTCCGAATATCTAGTATCTTAAATAAAGTTAGTTATTGCCATTAAGAGTGATAATATAGTTGGTGATACACCTTGGAAATTTCAATCACTAAATATAAAAATTGTTGGAAATACACATGTTTTTACTGGTGATAAAGAGGGGAAGTAGTTTTGCAGTTGCTATAGCAGCAACAGCCGGTGAAGTATCTGATTTCATTTTGGTGTGGATCAAACCTAGATCTTGAACTAGCCCTGCATTTCAATTTTCAATGGAAGATGAGAGGGCAAGGCAAGAAGCAGCTATAAAGAAGGTTGCAAAAGAAGCTGCACAGCAGGAAAATTGTTAACATTCTGCATTACAGGATGCTACCATATTTGAAAATGTGGACACCAGAACGACTTAATCTGAAAATGAAACAAAAGACCTAATGGTTAAACTCTCTTTTACACTTCATGCCTTGGATTTTCTAAGTTTTATTTGTTTGCAATAGTGGTAAGACTACAATGGCAGTGAGTTTCAATTTTGATGATGATTTTCCATATGTCAAAATTGTAAGTGATTTTATATGTTCGTGCTGAGCATTTATATATTTGTTTTCATTATTTCCTCTCATATTCTTATTCTTTTATGTGTTTCTGATTTTAATTTGTTTCTTTGTTAGATATCTGCTGATTTGATTATTGGCTTACTGAACAAAGAAAATGTGCTCAGCTTGTCAAGGTTCTGTCTTTTGTCCTAACTCTGAACTGCTTAACTATGTTTAGTACAATTCAAATTAAATACGTAATTTACATAATTTTCCTCCATTTTCGAAAGGATGACTTGCTTGTTTTTATATTAAAATATTTATATAAATATCTATGGATAGAATTATCTAAGCCTTATCTTCAATAAACTTGATGTCAAGTATGTGACTCATGCTTTTTTAAATGAATCCTCGATTAGTGCCCCTTGGGTAGATCTTCATTTTCTTTTCAGTAATTCTATTTTTTCTGTTCATGTTTTTAATATTCTCTAGAATATTTAACTTAATAAATATATTTTGGTCACATTTAAGTAAATGTTTGATACGTTTTGTGATAGGTATTCGATGATGTTTATAAGTCACAACTACACATAATTATCCTCGATGATATTGAAAGGTAACTATTGTTGACTCTACCATTCTTGCGTAATCTTTGTTATTAACTGCACTCTGTTGGAGTATGTTGCCATTGAACTCCGATTTTTGGATGTGATTTCTCAAACATTGTTGGTGCTCATGTAACGAATTATTTTGAAGGTAAATTATAAATACATTACTGCTCACGATTTAACTCTCCTTTGCTTCTTAGTTCATCTAATATTATTGTATCTCTTATCTAATCTTTGTAGGGGAAAAACATCCATGTCTTTGGAACTATAAGTTAGGTAACTTTCTTAGATTCAAATAGCGTCGAATCACACCAACACCACATATGGCTCACGGTCACGGACACTGCATCGCCATGTAGAATGCAGCTTGGGTCAACAAAAATTTTGGAAAAAACCGGATGCACATAACAATTTTTCACAGAAAGATTAGAGACACTCACAAGATGGTGGACCCCATGCGTATTAAAATATTACAAAAAAAAACCCAACCACCCTCTATGTGTGTGTTCTGTACCAATTCTGTAGCCACCATTTCTGTAAGTGTAGCTTTGCTCAAAAATTTTCTCACCAAAAAAAGTCCAAAAATCACTGTCGAACTTATGTGCCCTCTGCAAAACAAACTATAGCCAGACCATAATCCAATATTCTATATATGTTGATTCGTATTTTCATATCATCGCCACATACCAATCTTGAAATCCGACTCCCTCTTTGAGATTTAGATGGATCATTTGAGATATTGCAGTTAAAGATCATAGCAAATATAAGCCAAATTTGTAAATCATTTACAGCAAAAACTTGCCTGAAATTCTTGTAATGCAGTAAACAAGAGCAAAGATCATGCCACTAGATGCCCAAGCAATACCTTTGTAAAGATGTGAAAAAGAATTGGGAAACGTAAGGCTACGGTTGGTTTGGCGTTTTTGGGTCATTTTTCGTTTTTCGTTTTCGAAAACACAGAAAACGCGTTTTGTCCATCGTTTTCGAAAATGCAATTTCGAAAACGAGTTAAAATTTATAACTGAAAATGCGAAACTACTTTTTATCATTTTGAGCGTTTTCAATTATAAATTTCCAAAATGCGGAAAAACGTTCAAAACGCTCCCTTTTCGAGAAAAACTAAAAATCGTTTTGAAACCGAAAATGGAAAATGGAAAACTAAACCAGTCCCACCCTAATTGTCTTGGAAAATGGAGAGCAAAATCCGGGTAAAGTTTTTTGGAAAGGTTGAAAGGAGAAACGTTGAGTGTGTTAAATGTGAAATAAAAAGTAAACTAATAAAGCGATGCAGTTTTGTAACGAGAAATAAAGGCAATAAAATAAATATAAAAATAAAAATAAAATGGAAATCGAAATGGATTTAAACACTGTTACAGCAACAATGACTTTAGGATTGACTCTTTTATAATATAGCGACGATATAAAAAGGTAAATCCTAAAGTCACTGTTCCTGTAACAGATTTTAAATCCAGCAAGACATTCATCAAAATACCGAATGCTTGTTGGCATGGTGGACTTGATTTTTTCTGATGTTGTTCAGCCTGATCAAGTTTGCTTTCTCTGTAGTTCTGCATATTTTCTTTTGATAGGAAGTACGGAAAATTTTTATGGGGGAAGTAACTCAATTTAAGCTTATTTTTATTTTTGTGTATGTATATCAAAATGAAGCTTCTCCTTTATATGATCAATATGAGATTGGCTATTACAACTTGAGATATTTTGGGGGTGCTAAGGGGCCAATGATTTTGTTATTCTTACATCGTAGTTTTATCGAATGGTCGAAACGGATATTGAAAAAAGTTAAAATTGCATCAAACGTACGTCTCTAAAAAGATATCTACCTTGTCTTTCTTTTAAATTTTTTAAATTATTTTATTAACGTTTATTATTTTTGCACAACAAATTTCTCAATATAATTTACATCATTTTATTAGCAAATTTTAAATGGAGCATGGCGTAAAATTTTTTTAGGATAAATTAAATGCAATTTAAATTACTTTCAAATTAAATTTGAATTTCATTTACTTCCTAGATTGAATTTGAATTTAATTTCAATTTATTTACTTCCTACATTCAACTTGATTTTTTTTACCGTCAGCTCAGCATTTGTCAACGCGATGGTAAACAATAATAAACAAGTAACAAAATTCATTTGATATTATTGATAATGATATAATTATATGACGTTTTCAAAGTATCAAGATATGTAGACTACAATTGTAGTAGCATATTGACTTGTTTTTATTAATATTATATATATTTTTTGTGGACTATAATTGTAGTAGTGTATTGACTTGTTTTTATTAATATTATATATTTGTTTTTTAAAAATTACATTTTAATTTCTGACCCTACAGTGCAAAATGTCTGAGTCCATCCCTGTCTACCCAGCATTGCTTTTGGCTCTATTGACATCACGCTGGTGGAGGCATCACCAACCAAACAATCGTCTAGCTTTAAGTGATAACTGGAAAGCATTCACGCAACTAACATGTAAAGGTGACAGTAGATCTGTACCATCCAAATTCTGTCTTAGATGTGCTATAGGCAAAAAATTTAGATGAGGAATCTACATTGTCAATCCCTCAAGTCAGTATAGAGATCAAGTAAAATGTTATAGAATCAATCTCTAAAAGGAAACCTAATCACACAAAAAAGGCACTCATGGAAGGAAACTTACCATAACTCGATAAAGAGTCGTGCGAAGATGTGGAATCAAGGCTCGCCCAATCTTTGTTCCACGCCGATTCCTTTCCTACAAATATGCATGCACCAATAACCTCATAGACTTTGTGAGACAATTGACTTAACCGTTAGCGTATCAACAGTCTCCTGCCTTTGTCTTAGTCTAATGATCATTTTGCTAACGGTTTTTGTCCAAGAATGCACGTAGCATATTGGTATGCAAATGCGTAGTTGAAGATACATTGACAGCAAGGCCTTGGGGATTTTTGGAGCCGAGAGTAATGAATTCCATTCAGATAGCACCAAATGTATCAACAGGAGGATTGAACAAGAATAATATTTTCTCTTTATTAAGCTAATTAACAAGATTTTAAATGTGTTAATTTCATTAATGGTAACTGAAATTCAAATAAAAATTTAAAATGGTCATCAAAGTTAGGGTTGGGCAAATCTCCCGAACCGAACCGACCGAACCGAACCCGAACCGAACCGATCCGAACCCGACGGTTCTTGTCAAATTAAATACCCGAACGGGTATCTGAATTGAAAACCGATGGGTACGGTTCGGTTCTAGACCAAGAACCGAAGAACCGAATAAGAACCGAATCTTTCTAATTTTTTTTTTATATTGAGTAAATCAAATTATTTTAATTTTAATTTTTTCTAAACAAATTAACAAATTAATGATTTCTAAATCCAAATTTTTGGCCCAATAATTTGTTTCATTTCTAATTTTTTAATTTTTGGCCCAATTACCCATTTTATTGTTTCATTTCTTAGCCAAACAAGATCAAATCCACTAAATAACCCTAAACACCTACAATAAAGTGCATAACGTTGTCTCGACTCTCGCACTCACTCTCGCAGCCTATCTAATATTCCAAAACCTATACAATCGTCGGCCGACACTCTGACCTCCGATCGCGATCCGAACCGAACCGAATGGAACCGAACCCGAACGGTTCCATAATTATATTTGGACCCGACGGTTCCATTTACTAGATACCCGAAAAGTTTGGTTCGGTTCGGTTCTAAAGAGAACCGAACCGAACCGACCCGCGCCCACCCCTAATCAAAGTATTGTTGTAGCCCATTTAATCACTGTACTAAACGTGTTGATGCATACTTGGTCACTTCGTTAGCTTCATTGATGCCATGTTACTGTGAAGTAGTTATTAGACATCCACGTGGACTAATGGCCGTTAAATGAATATTCCTTATAGGTGGCCTCCTTTTTTTAACTTTGTCGTAAACTTTTTTCAAATTTATTAGCGATGAAAATAGAGTTATGGTTAAAGGGTGCAATTTGAGGTAAATGTGAGGTTTTTCTTCGTAAGAGTCGCATATTTGTTTGGAAGATATGAACTTCTACAATATGTACACAATGATCGTTAATCGATGTCAATGCTTAATGGGTCGACATTGGATTTGGATTGAATGTTTCCAAATAAGTGACCAATTATGTAATATTAATTTTAATGACAAAATAAGTTACTTTTATAATTAATTTTACAATTTTGGGCAACCATTTGGGAAGTTATCTCAATTATATAAAGTAAAATATCTTTCATAAGAAAAGTACATAAAAGATCTATCATAGTAGTTTAGCAAAAAGAAGAAGGATTCGTTTGATTGCAAGAATGAAATTTGGGAGGAAAAAAAGCGAATTTCAGGAACAAAAATGCTATTTGTACATCACTTTTTTCATATCAATTTTCACACTCATCTCATAAAGGTGGGGTCCACTATTATTTTAATTGTGGACCCCACCCACCCACTTGCATGTGTATGTGCTGTGAAAATTGATGTGGAAAAAAGTGTACAAGTAGAATTGTCCTTTCAAGAAATTGAGTTACTTAGAATTTGTTTTACTGGAAATTGTCAATTATATGTGTTTGAGTTGTATAATTTTTCATTGAAAAATATTGAAATTTGGATCTTTTGGTGTTTGTTTGGCTTCATTTTTCATAGAATTGTCAATTAAAGGGATAAAATTTGTTACAATTGAGGATATAATTTGTTTCAAAAAAAATTTGGAAAACCAATTCCTCAAAAAAATTGGAAAATAGGGTGTTGCCAAGAAAATTTGGCCAATCAAACATGCAAAAAGGTGAAAAATGGAATGTAATTTCCTACTTTAATAGAAAATTTGTGCAATCAAACAGGGCATAAGTTCCTGGTGGGAATTTAAATTAGATTTTTAATAGAAATTGATGAATATGTAATTAAAAAGTTGTGAAACCTATAAAATATGCAGTTAAAATTAATTCTTGACTTTAGTTTAGGGAAGTGCTACATGTACATAATTGTCTACATGATGGTGTCCATAATTACACGTGGCGCTAGATCCAACCTTTAATTCAAATCTTACACTTGCACATCAACAGTCGGATGATTGCCACATCACATTATGGACACCATTATGTGCAATAATTATGTATAGATATAATTTTTTTTAGTTTAAATTAAAATTAAAGTGCAAAATCAAAGACAAAGGATGTGATATTGGAAAAAGTTAGGTTGGTTGGTCCACTAGGGGACCAAAATGAGTCTCGTTTCTATGGATACAGTCACTGTCGTGCGCGAACAAAGAAAGGGCCACGAAGCCTCCTTTATAAACCCGCAATATCATTGGTAAAAGAATGGCCGCGCACCATGACGGAACCCTAATTACGTGGCGTCTGCCTCCGCCATTAGCTTTTTCAGAAGAGCCCCATGAAACGCGACTGTTGGGTAGCTTACTTAGGAAACTTATGGGTACCATGTAATTGCCCTTACTGTTGTCGAATACTACTTAATTGCCATTATTGAATTGTATTTTTTTACCCAACTAAAGAAAATAAAATAACAATGTTTTCACGAACCGCTATTTTCATTCGTATTGTTATATATTAATTTAAATACAAATATTTTCAGAGCCGCTATTTTTATTCACCATTTTAACATATTAATTAATTTTTTTTTTAAAAATATATATAATAGATTTTTTAACTTCATACATATTTAATCCGATAATTGGCACAAAACATTCATACATTTCATGTCTATTGTGAAAAATGTCACTATATTTAATTTTTTGGCATTTCTGCTCCTATTTCCACTTTTCTTGACGTTGAACGTTATTTTTACCAATTTTGAACAATTTTACCCTCCATTCAAATATCGAGGGCTATGGTTGCAATTAATTATTTGTTGTTTCCTTTCTTTTCTTTTTGTTTTATTTGAATGGTGGGTAAAATTGTCCAAAATTTGTGAAAATGACATTTAGCGTCAAGAAATGTAGAATATGAACAAAAATGCCAAAAATGAAAGGTATAAACGTTTTCCACAATAGACATAAAAGGTAGGAACGTTTTATGTCAATTACCCTAACTAATCAGACAAGAATAAAGCCAAATAAACCATATATCTTTAAATTTTAGTATCAATTTTTAGTAACGTTTATTTGCGCATTTCATTTCTTATCATTATTATCATCAATTATAAGGGTGTTTTTTTTTTATGGGGTTAATCTTTCTATGTTTAAAAAGCATCATACTTTTTTGAATGAAATATAGTAAACTCTAGTGGGCAGGTAAGGCGGGGTGGGGCGACGTCTTGCCCCATTTGCTGCCCCAATTTTTTTTTTTTTTGAAATTTTCAAGTTATGCTATTATTAGAAAATAAAATACAAATTCAAAGTGAATTTTTAACAGACGAATTGTCAATAAATAAAATTATTTTTAATTTTTTTCTCTTCACGAGGCAGTATTTAATCTTTTTCTCTTCAAGGGACGGGTTTGCCTTGCCTTGCCTTGCCTCGCCAACTCGTAGGGACATGTTTTTTTGGCCCCATTCAGAGTTTTTTGCCGTTATTAGTAAAATCTCACTTTTGTCATTGTAACTGCTCATAACATTCATAATCTTTAGTTCTTATATATAAGCCTTTCTCCGATTTGTCATTGCAATTTTCTAGTCTGTTGTTGTTGTCGATTATTTACTAGAATTCATTTAGATTAGAAGTCTTAACCATATGTCTTCATTATTATAGGTTGGAGTGGCTATTGGTTTTAAAGGTAAATGGCCTAAAATTACATGCTACGCGAATCCTCAAGTAGCAAGCATAATTAAAGCCTGTTGGGTAAAGAGAGTGATAGTGACTGGTTTTTGTTATGAACTTAATAAGAGTAATGTTAGAATGTTGTGGGATAAATATATAGATGTAATTATTGGCTCGGACCGATTTTACTAATTGGACATATGGTTAATGATCTAGCCCGTTTATATTTAAAAAAATAAAATAGAAATAATTTTTATATTAAAAAAATTCACTTAAGGCTAAAAGCCTTGAGATGTCCATGGACAGACTTAGCCCTGTTTGCTAGTGCTTTTTCATTTCAAAAAATTAATTTTTTGATCGTTATTTTATTATTTCAGTCATTATTTTTGATTTCTTCACTCAAATGTGACTTCCACTTTTCTCCTTAACAGTAAAAAAAAATCAATTCTCATAATCATTAACGAACACGCCCTTAGAAAAACGCTAAAATAGCCTTAGGCTATGACAACCTTAAGAATAGATTTTTGATAGCTTATTTTTTGTTTGTAATTAAATTAAGGTTATTTCACATTTATTTTGTAATTTTTTGTGATTAAAATTTAATATTGACTTGTTTTATTATAATGTTGACTGGTTCATCAGCCAATCCTCTAGTCTATGTATTTTTTACGAGCCAGGTAAGGATCAGTCCCTTCAATCGGCATGGGTAGATCCCAAGACAGGACTGAGTTGTGCTGGTTCAAATCGGCTCGCTGCTTTTTACCCTTCAGATGTATTCTAAGCCTTTATTCGATATAGATGTTTTTTAAAATTTCTTTTTTTTTTCAAAGTTATTTTTTTATGATATATTCTTTTAATAAAATAATTTTGCATGTAAACATATAATTTTGTCATATTTTTTAATTATATATTTTTCAAAAGAAAGTGACTTTTCACAAAAGAAAACCTCGACTATACATGTTCTAAATCATTAATGGTACCTTACTTGATTAAATTAGTAATTACAACTTTGAGTAAAGATGCTTTTAGAATTTATAATAAATATTAATTTTAAAATTAACAAATATTTCATAATTAACAAATGGCATTCAAGTATATATCTTGAAAGTCCAGTGGCAAATATATCCTCATTTCTGGCTATATATTAGTCCCTTTCCCATTCCAATGTCCATTTTCCCTTCATCGTTTCCCATAAAAACGAAACTCAGATACACGCATTTACATTCACAATCACAATCTGATATAAACCATCGCTTACATTATACAGAAGTAAATAGAGATGTGGCGGTGCGTATCGCGTGGCCTCCGCATTCCGTCGAAGAAATCTACCGCCGGCGACTCCCTCTGCCGTCTCTTTTCAACTCAATCGGTAAGATTCCCTGTTTACAATTTTAACTTATAATAAGCTTAATTGTTTTTCAAATTTGTTTTTATTTTGTACGTTGGAAATCTGGAGACAAGTCTTGGGTCCTTGATTTGAATCCGTTCTAATTTTGTGATTTGATTCTTTTGTGGATTTGGGTTTTTGGGTTAAATTGATGGGTTTCAGGGTTAGGTTGAGCTTGATGGGATTTTTAAATACTTAAGTGTATTGTGGTGTATTATCGGTTTGAAATAGTATATGTTTAATTTTTTTTATTCGTATTTGGAACTATGGGTTTGTTTTGAACAGAATGTGGGAGGGTCGTCATACACAGTGGTGGATCATACCTATGACGCTGTTGTGGTAGGCGCAGGTGGTGCTGGTCTGAGAGCGGCGATAGGGTTGTCAGAGCATGGATTCAACACAGCTTGCATTACCAAGCTCTTTCCTACTCGGTCTCATACAGTTGCAGCTCAGGTACTGTAATTCTAGCTCTTTTTTCCTACTTCGGTAAGCATGGACAATAATTTCTTCCTTCTTACTCTTCCTTCTTCCTTCTTTCTGCTGTATCTGTGTCTCACATGGCCAATTTTATCGTATATATCTAGTGTTAAAAAATTAAATGAGTATTCTTGTTATATTTGAGATATATGGAATTGGATTATAATTCCCTTTTTGTTTTTATTTTCCCATCTCGTTGGATGCTATCAGTAAGTTGATATTCATTATTTTTTATGGCATTGATTAAAATTATTGAGGCTAGTGATATAATTTTGTAGTAGGCAAAATGGAAAATTAAAGGAGGAATGGTGGCATTGGTTGTAATATTATTTTTGTGTATTCTGTTTATTCTAGTTCATATATAATTTAAAATGATCTTATTACACCTTTGGCATATTTTCACCTTTCCAAGTTTTTTCATCCATAGATAAAAGCCCATTGTCATCTTGTTATTGAAATCAAGAAATCATTTCAAATTTTTGATGAATTTACCAGATGCAATTTTCAGATTTTGCCCTGGCCGCATATTCAAATAACTCGATTTTAGCAAAGATGACCTGCTTCTTGCTATTCCCCATTAGTAGAAATCTACTTTTTTTTCTTGTTATCTCTGTTTTTAGGTGGCTTGAAACATACCAGACTGCTGTTTGTCTCTGTAGTTGTCATTCTAATATATATTATGGGGGTGTCAATTCTTGGTTATACTTTATGAGTCGTGATTCAAGCAATTGATGTCAATATCTGTCAGACTTCTTTAGAAATACATGAAGTTCTGTTCTCCAATGTCCAATGCAAGCCCAAAATGTTTTTCCACTGTAAAATGTGCATGTAACCTCCATCTCTGTAATTCCTTTTGCAGGGTGGAATAAATGCTGCATTGGGAAATATGACAGAAGATGATTGGAGGTGGCACATGTATGATACAGTCAAGGGAAGCGACTGGCTAGGTAATTGCTACTGATACAAGGCAAAGGCTTTCTTCTAGTTGTCAGAACTCCGAAAGCAATTTTTATTTTTTCTTTTTATTTCGTTAATGTAATTAGAACCACTAAATGTTTGGTAGCTTGGGCTGTTATGATCTGAGTAACGCCTGAATTGGATTTAGACTATGAAAATTTCAGCATGTATGGATCCTAATATCCTATTGAATAATATAAGTATATTGAAGTGACTCAAGATCCCTATCCAGTTGAAATTGAACACACACATATATATATATATACACGTGTATATACTTGTATATACGTATATGCATGTGTGTGTGTGTGTGTATATAATTTTTTTTTTTAATTATGTCTAATGGACATAATTAGAAATTTCATTGTTTATTTACATGCTACAATTTATGCATTGAAATTACTGTTTAAAATTTTTTCTCGATATAGAATTGGATGTTACCTGCACTTTCATAGGCCACATGATATTAAAATTTTTGTCTAGTGTCTATGTTTTTATTGGCTTTTGATCTGAATCTCTACAAATCTCAGAGATTTCTGAGCTGTCGACTACCCTACCCTCCAGATATTTGTTTGCTTTTGGTCTGTGGTTGAGAAAAATGTTTTTGAAATCTTTGGGGTCATCCAAGGTAAATTATCTTTAAGTAACTGGCATTATGTTTCTGCAGGTGATCAGGATGCCATTCAGTACATGTGTAGGGAAGCTCCAAAAGCAGTTATAGAGCTTGAAAATTATGGGCTACCATTCTCTAGGACCGAAGATGGGAAGATTTATCAGCGTGCATTTGGTGGTCAAAGCCTAAACTTTGGAAAAGGTATTAAGGTATTTTGACATGGAAGAATAGTACAGGATTTCAACAGAACCTATTTGATTTGCATTACCTCTATTTCTTGTAGGTGGACAAGCATATCGTTGTGCATGTGCTGCAGATCGAACTGGGCATGCATTGTTGCATACTCTTTATGGCCAGGCTATGAAACACAATACACAATTTTTTGTGGAATACTTTGCCCTGGATTTACTTATGGGTAGTGATGGTAGGGTTACTCTAACTTCTTACATTGGGAATTTGTTTAATCATTTTTTCTTAGTAATATTACTTTTTCTCCCCTTGAGATTATTCGAAATCTCTCAAAGTTTTGTGAGAACATTAGGCTAAGTAATTCATTTTGTCAATCATGTAGTCAATAAAATGTTTATGGCCAGGAAAAATGTATCTATAGACAAGTAAATGTGGGGAGAAAAACCAAAATGATCTAGGGTAAAACTGGAATTTACAAATTCAAGAACATCATCTTCAAATTCCGCAGACTGTTATTCTGTTATTTACATTTAAATGTGGTCTTTTAACTACCATAATGCAAAAATCTGCACGGTACAGGGGACCGCTGGTTTAAAGGCGAGTGGATTAATATCTTTTTGAGTGTATGCACATTAATATACTTGGCTTATTGAACCAGGGAAAAAAAAAAAAAAAAGACGTAGTCCACATGCAAATGGATAAACATGGAAACGTGTAAATCTGTCACTAATTTTATTTTTATTTATTTATTTATTTATTCTTTTCCGTTATCAGGTAGCTGTCAAGGTGTAATTGCCTTAAATATGGAGGATGGGACATTACACAGGTTCCGTGCTGCCTCAACAATTCTGGCTACAGGGGTAACTATTAATTCTTGAAGCATATTTAGACTTGAACCAGTCATTTGCAATAAAATGCTTATTTCGATTTTTATCACCTGAAAAACTACTTCTGTTGCTGCTTCTGCCAGGGCTATGGTAGGGCGTACTTCTCTGCTACCTCTGCTCACACTTGCACCGGAGATGGCAATGCTATGGTTGCTCGAGCTGGACTGCCTCTCGAGGTGTGTTTATTCTTGTATTTCTATTTTCAAATAAGGAGTATTGGGGATGGAGAATCTATTTTTAAAGTGAATTTTCATAAACAGGTGCTAATGTTAATGTCTCCAACCATTAATGAGACGACTTTCTTTTTGCAGGATCTGGAATTTGTCCAGTTTCATCCAACTGGTATATACGGTGCAGGCTGTCTCATTACTGAAGGTCTGTGCCTATCTATCTTGGTTTGATCTATATAAACCTACTGTTCATACATACTTATTAACAGATGCTTTCATTTCCAATGTTTGTTCCTCCATGTTCAGGGTCTAGGGGTGAAGGTGGTATTCTTAGGAATAGTGAAGGTGAAAGATTCATGGAACGGTATGCCCCAACAGCTAAGGATCTTGCATCAAGAGATATTGTCTCGAGATCTATGACAATGGAGATCCGAGAAGGCCGTGGTGTAGGTATGGCTGCATTCACAATCTTTGGCGTACCATAAAATTTGGTTTATCTGAATGTGTTAAATTTTGATATGCAAAAGGTCACTTCCAAGTCTAGGGCGAGTTGTTTTGGGATAAAAGAGCAGAGGGCTTTCAAAATGTAGAAATCCTTCCTGGTGAACTAGGAGTATCATATTCTCTTTCTTTTCAATTGAAATAATCAATCCGTTCAAAGTTCTTTTGGACTTGGATAGACTTTTTGATACTTCTTTCACTCTTTTTAACATGTTTTATGAAGGCTTTTATTCTTTACTGTAATAACTAATTTTGATTTTTCGAAGAAAAGAACATAAATTTACTTCCACATAATCTTCGTCGCAATATCTCGAGAACATGGTGATGGTTTCCCTAAGATTTAAATCTCTACTTGTTATAATTTCAGAATTCAGTATCTTGTTAAATCATTCTTGTCATAGTATGATTAATAGATCTTATGAATTCTTAAGTTAGCATTTGCCTTGAGTAAGCTTAAATGTGTTCATTTATATTGTGTAGACTGAATGATACGTGAAATTGGGTGGTTGTTTGTTCAGAATTAATGTTATATATGTATGGTTGGTAGCTTAGATAAATGAATAAACATCGATTGGAGGACAACATGTGGCAGCTAGTTTTTTTCATAGGATTGATTGTTACGACTTATACAGAATTTAACGGGTTATTCTTGTCTCCTGATAGGACCATTGAAAGATCATATCTATCTTCACTTAAATCACTTACCTCCTGAGGTCCTCAAGGAGAGACTTCCTGGAATATCTGAAACTGCTGCCATTTTTGCCGGCGTCGATGTTACAAAAGAGCCAATCCCTGTTTTACCTACTGTCCATTATAACATGGGTGGGATCCCAACAAATCACCATGGAGAGGTACAAATTCAAGCTGAAATTTTACTCTTGATCAAATAATATAGAACTCTTCTCCTTAAATAATGGTTGCTATGCAGGTAGTTACCATCAAAGGGGATGATCCTGATGCTGTGACTTCTGGACTCTTAGCTGCTGGGGAAGCTGCCTGTGCATCTGTTCATGGTTCTAATCGACTTGGTGCAAATTCCCTTCTTGATATTGTTGTGTTTGGACGGGCTTGTGCAAACAGGGTTGCTGAGATCCGTAGACCAGGTAAATAGAAGTTTGTTTATTTTTAGGGATTTGGTGCCTCATGGGCAACGTATGACAAGTTTGAGATGTCTTGCATCCATGCAGGAGAGAGCCAAAAACCACTTGAAAAGGATGCTGGAGAGAGGACTATTGCATGGTTGGACAAGCTTAGGAATTCAAATGGTTCCCTTCCCACCTCAAATATCCGGTTGAACATGCAGCGGATTATGCAAAGCAATGCTGCTGTGTTTCGTACGCAGGAAACATTAGAAGAAGGTATGCAATAGAGACCTCCATTTTCCAGTTTGTTGTATAAGGGATGAACTAGATACTAAGGTGGATATCCTTCATTTTCTTGATTAATTGGGCTCCATCTACACAAAAGTTTGCAATGACTCCCTGCTTTTGAAACAGGCTTACAATTTTGACTCCATTGATCACTATATTTAAATTCTCTACCTCACTGATTCTTTATTTTCTATTTTAAAGGTTGTCAGTTGATTGATAAAGCATGGGAGAGCTTCCATGATGTCAAGTTGAAGGACAGAAGCTTGATATGGTATATATGTTTAATAGGATTATTAGCGTTGAAAGTCGTATTCTGAAGTCCATAATTTCTCATTACTTATTTTCCCCTAATGTAGTATATTCATTAAATGCATGTATAACCAACTCAGACTTGAGTTGGAAAACCTTTTAATTGACTCTTTATGTTTGCAGGAACTCAGACTTGATAGAGACCATTGAGTTGGAAAACCTTTTAATCAATGCACGTATCACCATGCACTCTGCTGAAGCAAGGAAAGAAAGTAGAGGAGCCCATGCGCGTGAAGATTTTACGGCTAGTTCTAAACTCTTAAATGCTAATTTATTTTTCATTTTTCTGCTTTAGCTGACAAAACTGAATCAAATTTTGTTCTGTTTTCAGAAAAGAGATGATGAGAACTGGATGAAACACACTCTGGGGTAAGTTTTTTCCCTCAGTTTCTTGTTTGTGTATTATTAAGTGATTGAAGGGCAGTGTAGGGTCAACTGAAAGTTTATGGTTCTACATTGAATCACGTAAGTCGTGTAGGGGCCTGGTGAAACACAATGCATAAACGATTCTACGATAACCTATTTCTTTATCACTGTGGAACTTAAGTTTAGCCATGCATGTGTTTATTATTCTTTTGCACTAGCCAATCGATGTGTCCATGTTACACATACACATCTGATGTAGGTTAACAGACTGATGATTCTCACTCATCTCATTAAGATTTATCGACCCTTGATTTCCAACAGGATTTGATGCAGTTTGTGCTTTTAAACTTGAAGGCACACTGTAGTGTTTGCTTTTGAAGTGGACAAACCCATTTTTCGAGCTTCATAACTTGGGTTCTCTGTATCATTCAATGTTGTTGATACATCGAAATTTTTTCTGCTGCATGCTGATGTTAATTTTGTCTATTTCACCTTAGTTTTGTAATCTTGAACTCCCTGCATAAGTTGAAGTCATATAAACATGTGACACTGATTGCTGTTATTATTGATGAGTTGCTTGTGTTGAAGGCCAGTTTGTTGATAAAGCTCCTATTGTTATCTGCAGATATTGGGAGAATGAAAAAGTTAGGCTCGCCTACAGGCCAGTTCACATGAACACGCTGGATGATGAAATCGAATCATTTCCCCCAAAGGCCCGAGTATATTGATCGTTTGCTCACCAGGGAAAACTTGCTGGCTCAAGAAATTGATTTTCTAATACTGTTAAGAGGTCAGAATAAATTAATTTGAATTGCAAAATTTTGGTAATAATGGTTGCATTTATCAACGATGATCTGATGAAAACCTTAAGTGTGGATAGATCTCAAATCAAGCCTTGGTCTCTTTTGTTGTCAAGCTTTCCATGATATTTTGTTTCTCACTGATGGTGTCACTCGTTATACAGATAACGAGCCTCGAAAATTCTGTTTTACGTTGCTGTAGGGAAAATGGAATGTATGTACATGTTGCAATAAATAAAACACACTTTGGTTGCTTGTTGACAATAGGAGTAAGTTTGCAATCTTTTGATAACTTGGATCAGATCTTGTAATAGGAGTTTAATTGGTCTTTTTGTTCTTGGAAAAATATTCAATCCGCAGGAGGATTTGGGAAGTCTACGACTTTGGGGGCTCTGCGGCCATAAACTGTGAAAACATCAGAAAAATAATCTATTAACTCTTCTTTAATTTATTATGAAATATTTTTTTGAAATATTTAATTGTTCATACAGACAAATTGCTCGGAAACCTTCCTTCTTGAATTATTAGCATGTCATTGTATTTGTCACGTCTGGCAGGAGGTGTTGAATACTGCCAACCTCACTTGAATTAGGGGTGTCAAAGGGATCAAGTAGGGCTGTTCTAGCCTTCCTCTTAGGTCCACTTCTATAGTGAAGAAATTAAATTAATTCATTTAAAACAAATTAAATCTTTAATTAATGTATTAGTTTTGCCATATTAAAAATATGAAGACATTAATTTGAAGTTAGCAAAGTCTTTCATTCCAAAGAATTGAGATTTGTTGTTCAAAATTGACCGTCTAACTTGCTATCTACTCAATAATATATTGATACATCACTTTAAATTAACAATGTCTTCATTATTTTAACAGTTTTTTGTTTTGTTCAAATTTGTACACAGAGAATTAGGATTTTGATTTGATTAAGATTCATTTTGACTCTTAAACACGTCTTTAAGAGTTTGAAAACCCTACGTTCATTTCTTTGATTAATACTGATTCAGTTTTCTTGTTATTGGTGGATTTCAATAATTCTCACATCCATTCGAGCAACATCCATTCGTTTGTTGCGAACAATTTTTTATTATTTGTATTCATGTTTTCTACCTACATTAGTGGTATCATAGCTATGATTGACGCTCAGATTAAGGCTTTTGCGGTGAGGTTTAAGCCGTTTGAGACCAACTTACAAGAATAGGCGATCAACTCAAGGATGTATTGTCTATCTTGAATCTTGGAGGTGGCAATCCTAGGCTACAACCATCCATCGACCTTGTTTAGATTCTACCCTAGTAGATCCAACCTTAGTTTCGGCCACAGTTCGTTATAATGATCGGCCATATGACTATTATGGTTACAAAGTCAAGGTGGAAATTTATGTTTTTAATGGGAGTCTAGATTAAGAGGCATTGCTTTACTAGTTGAATAAAGGAGAAAGATTTTCTGAAATCATGGAGGTTGACGAAGAGCATATGGTCAAAATTATTGCATACAAACTTAAACGAGAAGCAGAAGCCTTGTGGCTAAGTATATATGATGCATGATACACGTTAAGATAACCTCCCATAAAGGACTGGATTCGTGGGTACTATATGCAGGCCTTGTAGCTTTAGTTTTCAGACTATAGGCAAAGAAATCATTCGATAGCTGCCTAATAGGCTGGCTCCATATTTTTTCATATTTTGTGTATTTGAGGACTTTTGCTTGGAAAGACCATTGATATTGTTTTGCTTGCACTTTATTTTGATTATTATATATTTAGATGCTTTTTAGATAGGTTTAGTCTATATTATAGAGAAACTCTTTAATATAATAGAGTGATTTGAGATGGGTCGTGTCTGATATGTACAAAACAAAAACAAATTTAATGATTTCAAAATATTTAAGTAACAAGCTTTGTGCATTCTCCTACATAATACGAAAAATGAATGGTGTCTTTTCTTCTCACTATAAAATGTTTCAAAAATAATGAGTTATCGTCTAAAGGGACATTTTTTCTTCCCGTTTTAAAAGGTTTTAGAAATAACTAGATTTGTGCACCCCTCGTGCATAATATGGATGCTAGAGGTAAATATTTATGATTTTTTTATTTTTAATTTTTTATATATATAGGAAATGGAAGCACAAAAAGAGAACAAAATTGCAATTACATAAAATTAATCGTAAACTAAAATTATCTTCAGCATCCCAAACTCAGTTTTGTCAAATGATGACATTGTAAGGCAGGCCAAGCTAGGACTGAAGCAACCATTAGTAATAAATCATTGAGTGTTCTTCAACTGTACCTTTTGGATTCAAAGGATCAGTGTACCACAAAACAACCTGCACCATCTTAATAAAAATTTCGTCGCATGCATAAGCTAGAAACTTGGGGCTGTTCTTTTCTTGTTTCAGTTTTATAGTTTTGAATTTTGAATTCATTTTAGGTTGTGTTTTGAGTGTCCATTTTGAAATTGTTGAAAAAGCATTCTTTTTTTCATTTTAGAAAACTATTTCTCAACACATGAAAATGAAAAACACGTTCACTTTAGAAATTCATATTTTCTCTTCTCCAGCTACTGCCATTTTTGCCCCCTCCATGAGCCGCCGTCCTCTACCTCACAATCCGACCACCACCCACCACCTAGATCACCAGATCTCAGCATCACCTGAACCCATTTTCGCATAAGCCACGAATTGTATTGTAGGCCTTCGCGTTGGCCAACATTTGGATTTTGCATTTTAGAAATTTAGATTGTTGAATTGTTGTTTGTCGTAAATTGGGGCCATGGTTTGGGTCAGTTTATGGTGGGCAATCGACCGGTGGTGGTGCACAACCTCGGGTGTCGCTGGAGGTGGAGATTCTGGAAGAAGCAGTTTGTGTGTTTTGGCAGTTTTTGAGGATGACTTTTAATCGGTTTTGGTATATGTTTGGGTTGTTGTTTGTGTGGTAATTGAAGAAGGGATTGAGGGCTTCGCAATGGTATGTAAATCCGGTGGTTTTGGAGGAGGTTGGCTGGACTTTAGAGGGATGGAAAGAGGTGGTTTTGAAGGTTTCGTTGGATGTTGGCAGAAGAAAGTTGGGGAAATGTTTAGGTAGGGTTTCGCTTCAAAACTGCATTTCCTGTGTTTTGGATTTTTGGCATGTTTTCTACTGAGAACAGTTAAAATGACAATTTTGCCGTTTTCTATTTTTAATGTGGGTAAAGGGACATTTTTCTTCCCGTTTCAAAATGTTTCAAAAATAACCGGTTTTGTGCACCATTCGTGCATAATTTGGATGCTAGTGGTAAATATATAAGTTTTTTTTTTTTTAATATAGAAAATGGAAGATCAAAACAAAATTGCAATTACAAAAAAATCGTAAAATAAAATTATCTTCAGCATCCCAAACTCAGTTTTGTCAAATGATAACATTGCAAGACAGGCCAAGCAAGGACTGAAGCAACCATCAATAATAAATCATCGAGTGTTCAACTGTACCTTTTGGATTCAAAGTATTAGTGTACCACAAAAAAGCCTGCACCATCTTAATAAAAATTTGGTCACTTGCAAAAGCTAGAAACTTAATTTCAGTAACATTAGGTCACGCACTGTAAATTAGATTCTGTGCATTTGGTTGTTCTTGAAGCTTACTTTGTAGAAAGTAATTCACTGCTTATTTTCTAGAAAAGATATGTTAACTAAAAATGTACAATAATGTTATTTATCACCACTAGCATTATAATACTAGTATACATGACATTAAGCGCCATTGAGTGAAAGGTACTATTAAATGAACCTCATAATTTTATATTTAATTGAACCTTTCGTATAATGTTATATAAACTGAAGTATGCATGACCAACTTTAAACATCATAAAATAGCTTTATAAAACACTTTAATTACATTTTTCAGTCAACTTTGTTGACACTCACCTTTTTATCGTGCCCATCACTGAAAGAAAGCTTACTATCTGATCATAAGTGGCAAAACACAACTTCGTACGCGCTTGAACTAGGAGAACTTGCTTCTTTAAATGTGAACCCGGAAGATCGTGTGCCCACCAATCAGAAAAATATGATATATAGAAAAGAAAAAAATATTGAAATTCAAGTTCATCCCCAGATCTCATTCACAGGATAAATTCTTCTAAGAGCTTGTGCTTTTTGTTGACCTTAAAATTCGATGGATATATGGTCAACAAATCCCATCCACCTCCTCTCTGCATAAGTATCACATGCCCACTTGAACACAATGTTTGGAGACAAATGCCACATGTCGAGAAAAAGTCCGATGATTGTTCGTACTTCGACGATAAAGTCAACGACTGGATGAGAGATAACGTAAGTGCAAGAGACGGGAGATGGGGATTTGGCTCGGGATAGAATAATCTTACCTTGTGTGTGAAATTGTCTCCTATATGAAGGGAAGAAAATGAGTCGAGATCGGCCATTGAACCATGCGGAAGTACAAGAAAATGTTGATTGATTTATTATGCCCAATTCAATTGACCTAATTGATTGCCGAGTCAGTCAATGTGAAACCCCTACATCACGCATATGCCGTATAATTTATAGATATAACAGTTTTATACCAATCAATTACATTATAATAATCAACTGAAAAAGGTGAACTAATTGAATTCGACAAGTTCTTCATGGAATAACATAAAAGATTCACATAGTGCCATATCTGTTAATCTGCATTGTTTCATGTTTAAACAAATCAAGGATTCTCTGTTTATTTATTTATTTATTATTTTTTTATACTAGTAATATATAGTTGAACTCAAATTTATTTGAAGATAACAAATTATTACTCATCTTATTCAGAAGATATCACTAACAAAAATCAAAAAATTGAAAATATTGACTTTAAACAAATAAAAATGTTAAAAAAAAAAAAAACTATACAATCTAAAATTTTTAAAAATTTAATTTGGCGTGTCTCCAGAATTTTGTGACCGTGTTTCATGCCCTTGTCCTCTAGTAATATATAGTTGAACTCAAATTTATTTGAAGATAACAAATTATTACTCATCTTATTCAGAAGATATCACTAACAAAAATCAAAAAATTGAAAATATTGACTTTAAACAAATAAAAATGTTAAAAAAAAAAAAAACTATACAATCTAAAATTTTTAAAAATTTAATTTGGCGTGTCTCCAGAATTTTGTGACCGTGTTTCATGCCCTTGTCCGTGCTTTTTAGAAATTACTTTATTAATTAGACAACTTGGATGTCACTTTGCGAAAATCATCTCTCAAAGTGCTAAGAAATGTGGGGCTTCAGAAATAAGTAACTTAAGAAGTTAAAGGGTTACA